CACCTCCGCCCCTCCTTCTCCTCTGACCTGGGGATCTACAGAGTTGTTGCTCTCACATTTTGCTCTCTGCTGCAAATGTCCTCTACCATTTTTTTTTCCCCTCCTTAAACACGTTATCCCAGACACGTTAGGGCTGTGATTGGCTCGGCCTTGGCCAGCAGCAGGTCCATCTTAGAGCTGTCTGGCATTGGCTCTATCAGACACAGGGGAAGCTTCCAGGAGCTTGTCCCAGAATCCAACTCTGTAGCCCACCTGCTACCAAAACCCTGTCACCCAAACCCAAGACGTGATCTAACCACCACTCTGTTTTCTCCCTTCACCAGATTTCTGTCCATTTATTTTCAAAATTACTTACCCGATTTCTTGACCATCTGGGTGGTGTCAAACTGAGTAACCCAAAGTATGAATACACCGTATGCTTCCAGAAGAATGGAGAGAGAATAGATTTTGACCTTCCTCGTTAAGACTCATCAGCACCTCTCACTTCCACCTCTTGAAGGAATACTTATTGTGAAGGACAGTCTATTTAATTTATATCTATAGGATTCCGTGTGGCCATAAAGATCTGCCCTTGTGGATTTTGTTGCTTCCGAGGTCTACGGAGGTAGGAAGATGAAACAGAGAAGCAGCTGTTTGAACCAGTTATAGGATGTGAGAGCGGACGGTGAACTAGCAAAGGTTATAAATATGAATTTACCGTCTTTGAATGACACTTCAGCATACTTTGTGTTTGTTTTCTTAGCTTTGTCCTTCTCAAATAGTGACTTCTTTCAGTCATTAGTAGAAAGATCGAAAGGTAGCCTTTGCACTGAACAGCATTAAAACATAATGCAGTACAAAGCACTGTGAAGAGGTAATTGAAGAATACGTAAGCTACGTAAAAGGAAATAAGTAAAGTACCAGGTATCAGAGTCCAAAGCCAGTCCCTGGGGAACTTTCTGTGCGTGAGTGCTACTAGCAGTCACAAGGCTGATCTGGTGACTCCCGACAGTCACTTATGTATTCAGGTCACACTTGGTTCTCTTCTTCGGTTACACCTTCAACCAGATACGGCATCCTCTCTCAGCGTTTCTTCACAAAAGTCAGGCTCAGGGTGTTTCAGAAGGGGTGGTTAATGCACCCTCTATATTACCAGTTTGAGGGTAAGATAAAAAAAATTAATCACTAGATGTGAAAACTGAAAATACAAGTGTGTGCAGAATTAAGGCCAGCAGCTTAGGAAAGGGGTAAATGGTAACTCTCTCAAGCTGCTGGGCTTTGTTTGCCAGAAATTAATCTATTTGGAGGGGAAAGAAGAGGGACAGAACAATATTTCTGCAGTTGTTGTCCACCTTATCCTCACCTCAGGGGAAAATACAGATGGTGACAGTTACGGCAGTTTCTACTCCCGCCTTGGAGGATCAGCTTTACACAGCTACTCGGTATGAAGTTGGCTTGGGGTCAGTAAGGAAATGATAGCAGGTGACACAGAAGGGCAGGAAGGATGTCCTTTACTTCACTAGATTTTATTGAAAGTTTTTACCTTTACATAAATTTTTTAGCACTTAAGACTTCTATGCAAAATGATTTCAAAATAATTTTATTCCTAGCCTGTAATACACTGAGTCTTAATCTTCTATTACTCTTTCATGATGTTCTGGAGAACTTGGAGGCCTTCCCTTTTACCATTTTGTTTTGAACTCCAAAACCCATACAGAAATGTAGTCTATTACTTACTCAGTAACTTCAATATTATTTTGTCATGAATGCTTGTCTAACACAGAAGTTTTGGAATTTGCTGTGGAGTATTCGTTTAAAGCAAAAATCTTGTATCAAGTCCTTTTTTTCCTTTTTTTTTTTTTGGTTCCCTTCATTTTAGTATAGGGATGCCATTGTGAAAGATGGATGTCTGCGGGACACCTCTCACAGTGGTGATTTATCATTTAACATTAGTTGGTCTCAGCCCATCTTCTTCCTGCCCACTGTGTAAGGTGTTCCTAAAAGCCTAACGACGCTGACTGTCTTGGTAGAGTGCTTTGGGGCACACAGAGAACACTGGGCACAGACCAGCATTGTGGTCTCGGAGTCACTGGACTTGTACTGACTCTGCAGAAAACACCATTCCCCAGCATTAATTAGAGACCAAGGATTGAAGTGGGATGTTGACTAACCTGATTCTTCAGGTCAGTTGCTGGGTATGTTCTGGGAAGATTTCAGCACCACTGTATGGGCACAGAGCTCCCCTTTCCAGCCTGCAGACAAAGCTGCCCAGAGGATAAGGTGGGTGGAAGCAGGTGGTTTCCCTTGGAGATGAGAAATCTTCCATGATGTGAGGAGGCTCCTGTTGCACCAGAAACCAACTGTGGTTTGCCATGAACAAGCTGAGAAGCTTACTGAATAGAAAAATCACTTGGCTATGGAGAGAAGATTCAGTCGAAAGGAGAAAGCAGCGCTGTCGTTAGGACTCCAGGGATAGATCTTTAAAGCAAATTGGAAGTACTTTGTAAACATCTACAGTGCATCCTCTTCTGCATCCATGAAAAATACACAGCTGTTCTGCAAGGGACAAGCTTTCACCAATCAGTGAGTTGATATTTTCCAGCTTCCCGTGAGTTCCCCAGAACCAACAGCTATAAATCCAACATAGGGAAGTGAGTATTTTTTTTCTTCTCAAGAGGTAAAAGGGAGGTGATGACTAATGCTGAAGTGAATTGTTAAGAGACTTATTTACTTAATTCAGACTGCTTGTTTGGTATGTGTCCCAATTAATTCATTTTTGTTGTGATCATATTGAAGCAACCTACACCCTTGTGACCTTCTCTTATAATTGTTACCAGATTCCTCTTTTGAGGCACTGTTTTGATAATGTACTCAGAAAGCTCTGCTAAATTATCTGTAGCCTTAGTACAGAGCCTGATTTTTCCATTGTTTTGAACTCAAAGGTAGTAACAAAAAGAATTATCCCTTACTGAAGTTCTTGGAGGTTATGGGTCACTTACAGCCCCTAGGGCATGGGGGGGTCCTTCCTTTTCAGTTTCACAAAATGACTGTTTGAATAGGCAGAGCCTGTTCTCCAACTAGATATTCTTTTAAGAAAAACGTGTTGTTGGGTCGTAGCACTGTGAGGTGCCTCATAATTCCTCTGGCGTGCTGAATATTGTACGTATTACAGGGTCATGGGAGAAAGTAAGAGCAGCTGAGAAGGGGCTGGCAAGTATGTCCATCCCTAAACTTGCGGAGATTGCTATATGGGATCTCTGCCCCAGATGAGGTCTTGCTTGTATCATTGCATAAATTAACTACAGTATTGGACGGCCCTTTGCCTAAACCACAGTGGGGCCAAACTCTACCTGTGAAGGAAAGAGCCTTTACGATGCCGCAGTCGGATTTGCTGTGGTAGGTGACTCTCTTGGTGAGGGGTTGCCTGTACAAGGGAGGTGTTTACTCCCTAGTGCTTCATTGGATGAAGATTTTGCTGGTTTGTGCCATCTTCCACGATAGTAACTTATGCTTACTAAGCTGTTTCTGTACTCCTGTCCTCAGCTCCTCCCGTTTACCTGAAAATCCCAGCCACATGGTTTTCCTCCATCGTGGCGTGCACACGGGCACTGGCAGAGCTAGTTCTGGGCAGCTATCCCACAGGTGGTGCCAGGTTAGAGAAAGGTGCTCTGCATGCACGTCAGGGAGAAATTCCTCACGGAGAGGGTGGTGAGGCACTGGAACAGGTTGCCCAGAGAAGCTGTGGATGCCCCATCCCTGGAAGTGTTCAAAGCCAGGCTGGATGAGGCTTTGAGCAACCTGGTCTAGTGGAAGGTGTCCCTGCCCATGCAGGGGGTTGGAACTAGATGGTCTTTAACGTCCCTTCCAGCCCAAACCATTCTGTGATTCTGTGTTGCATCTTTCATTCCAGTGGAAGCAGGTCTTTTACCAGAAGTAAGTCTTAAACCAAGCCCCTCACCACCAGCTTCTATTTGGAAAGCTGCCAAGTACCCTTGAAGTTTTGTGCACCTCGTACAGCAGCAATCCCTTCTCCTCAGGCAACAGGACCCCAGCAGACAATATTTCTTTACACAAGGCTTGCTGTTGCTGCTTGTGTTACCGAGCTCAGTGCTATCACTGCTATCCCCAGTCTCCATTGGATCTCTGCTCGCTTCTGTCCAGATCAAAACTGGCCATGCTTTTAACTCCTGGAAGCAGTGCCTTTTTTTCTCTTCTGCATTCCCAGTTCTTTTCTCTCCACTTGCTTACAGAGTGCCTTCAAATCTGTGTTTTATGCTTTGTGGAGAGGTTGTTTGTTTGGGTTTTGTTTTGTTTTGTTTTGTATGACAGACTCTCTCTGTTCCTGAAATAATTCAAAACACTTCTTTAAAGGTAATGGCTCACTCTGGGTCTGTTTTTCAATGAATGGCCATCTAAGCTGCTGGGGATTTTGATGCCTGAGGGCAGCAAGTGCTGTCCTGGACGCCACCCACTCATGGGCATGCAGTGTCCTCTTGGTTTAACATTTTTCTGAGCAATCTTCTGTTCTCTTTCAATGTGAGACTGCGCATGTAGCAAAAATTCCTGCATCAGTAGAAAAGATTTGGGAATCTCCCTTCAGCCATGAATAATAATCCAGTGTAAAATGGACTGCTATCTCAGACCAGGCCTTCTTGCATTTAGCAAAGGTAGGTGATTGGAAAAGCCAAAGGAGTGGTCTCTCCACAAAACCAGAATTAAGGCCTTCCCCTGCTCACTCTTGACTTTCTCTCTTTACATAATCTGGTTCAAGTCTTTGACTGTGTTCAGGCCACTTTGACAGTGTTCTGCTTTGAAGTATGGCTGATAGATGCTGAGTGAAAGATTAATTTCCTTTCCATCATTGGGAGTTTCCTTTTTAGATGAACTCGCGTGCCAGATCACACAGCATGTAGCTGAGGTGTTGCATTTTACACGACACCTACAGGACTCTACTGAATGGAATCTGCAAGTCTTCAGAGTTCTTAAAATACCACCTTCTGTTTATGTGTTTTTTGGCGTAGAGACCGAAAAGCTGGGGCTGGAGGTGGGAAACGGATTGCCGTCTTGGAAATTTAACGACCAGCTCTTCCCCTGTGACGTGTGTGGAAAAGTGTTCGGTCGACAACAGACTCTGTCCCGGCATCTCTCGCTGCACACAGGTAAGCCGGCGCTTTGTGGTTGGTTGTTACAGCCCTGAGGAAATCTGTGTGTTCGTTATGGGGAAGAAGACAAACAGAAGGGTGTCTGGGCCATCCTCAGCTCCTCGCACCTGGAGCAGAGCCAAGCACAGAAACAGGACAATGTCAGAGTGGTGTTCAGGGAGTTTACTAGTATGTTGTTTCTTTACAGCCTCCTTGTAATTTACCTTTACAAAATGTGTAAACTCAAGTTTGTCCAGGTTGCGTAGACCAGCCTGCAGATACCAACTGGTTAACCAAGCCTGTTAGTGGAGTGCGGAAGAGAAGGCACAGCATTTCTCACAGTCACCTGATGAGCTTTTTAAATGTCGCTGAACAACAAAAAGTTTGGCCTTGGTGTTTCAGATCTGGTGAAACTGAAAGGATTTGATGTCTGTCATTCATCTTTGCTCTCATCATCCGGTTCTTCTGAGAGGAACAGGGGCTCTTCTACCCCTTACCAACTTTCTACAAGTGAATCAGCTTCAAATCGACTAACAGAGTTTTTATGTGGAAGATGCCCCTTGTCAGCCTGCTGAGGTGTACGGCGCAAAATAAAACTCGAAAGCATGAATTTCTGATGCAGTGCTGAAAAATACTGTTGGCATAATGCCAGCCTACCTTGTCTCATCTAGCAGAGCCATGCTGACAAAGTTCAAATGCTCCATTCCGTGGCGTACACGGGGTTTTCTTAGTCCTAAGCTGCTCTACGGAATGCCTTTTCCCTAACGCTTGTAGCACTGTATTTCAGATCTAGAGCAGCAGCTCCTTAAAGGGAAAGGTTGCAAAAGCTGATGTAATGTTGGGTTATTTTAATCAACTCTTGGCAAAATAAAGCCTGGCATGTGCAAAAAATGTGCTGCCAGGATTTAGAAATATTTAATTCATAATAAAATTGGTTTTATTTTAAATAATTTCTGGTATCTCCTGATCTAATTTAAAATAAAATCATTTTTATTTTAAATTAACTCACGAGGCATCAGAAATTCATGATGAATTTCTCTTAACTTCTTCAACTGTTGAGTATTTTCATTAGTCTGTGCTCGGAACTGACCTAATGATACAGCGTTCCCTTTCCACTCCACCCTCAGATTTTAATATAAAATCATCAACCATCAACTCTCTGCAAGTGATCACATGGGCAACCTCAAGAATAACTGGGCCCAAAAATCAAATAAAAGATGCTCGGTGATGGTAGTAGTTGTAGATTATTGACCTGTTTCTCTACTGGCTCTGCTGCAGCTCTCAGAGCAGCAGTTAGCCCAGTTTTCCAGTTTCTGAAGTTTTATATCATCTGATTACAAATGGTAGAGCAGGTTAAAAAATCGAGCCCTAAACTACCTCCAAATTATTCTTTTGTCTGAGTAGTTGCTGTGAACTCCAGGATGTCGAGCTTCCAAAGTGCCTCCTTCTGAAAGCTGCTCGGAGAGACCCAAAGGAATGCATACCTGGCCGTTGGCAGCTTTACACATAGCTTGCTCCAAAATGAAGTATGCGTTTAAGGTTTCCTGCTTCTTTTTCAGAAGAGAGAAAGTACAAATGCCACTTGTGCCCCTACGCTGCGAAGTGCCGTGCTAATCTGAACCAGCACCTGACCGTCCATTCGGTGAAGCTGGTGAGTACCGACACTGAGGACATTGTCAGCGCTGTCACTGCTGACGGCAGCGATGGAAAGAAGCACCCTTACTACTACAGGTGAGGACCCGGACAGGGGCTGTGCGCCAGAGCCTGGAGTCTGAATGTCTTATCTGCCCGCTAAGGATGTGATGCAGGGCCACCCTTCTGGTGTTCCAGGGTGGAACTCCAACGGAAGGATCTGTCTTGCCCGTATCCAAGTCTGGCTAAGCAGCAAAACTGAGCTGCCTGCCTCGTGCTGTTGGACTTGGCGAGCCGCTGGGAAAGACCCTGGGGTTTGGTGTGGGGTGGATTTTTTAAACAGCTTTGTGAGGCAGATGGGCTCGTAGAAGCCTCTTTAACTTTTTACGCAGTGCTCCTTTAAGTTTTGTGTTTGGAAACGGCCTATCGTGTACGCGGACTCGTGGCAAATCTGAAGCACTGGGCTGCCGGTTGCCTCTGACAGCTCCTTGTTTTCAGCCAAACCTATGAAGTCAAACAGGAAAGCGTAGTAAGAATCTTTATACCGATGCACGCCTTTCCCCCATTCGCTAGAGGTATGTACATCCAGCGACCAACAGGAGGAAAGAAAGAAAACCTTTAGGAGAATTTGCCTGAAAAATTAAAAGGAATTGCCCAGATATAACGGGTATTTGGACGTTCTCCTCGTCGTATGCGCTGTTGGATGCTCTGCAAACCGTGATACGTGCTTCAGTAGCCAAGCAGATCACAGAATCGCTCTTACTTTTAGTCAAAGTGCCAAGAGCAGATTTAATTACAAAATCATAGAAGTAAGAAATAAATAGACCTGCTGGATTAGATTATCTGCTCTGTCCCCCAGGGAAAGCAAAACTGTGCCCTAGAGTATACACGGTTTTAAATGTTTTGGGCTTGTTTTAAATGTTAATGGCCTAATCAAAGCAAGAGGAGGACTCTGCAAAGGAAGTTAAATTAAAGGGTCCTTTCCACTGCCTCCTAGTATCGCTGTGTTTATGCAGTGGCTGTGAAATCCGTATCCCTGCTAATTATTTGCATAGCTGCTGACTGCTGTTTTCCAGTCAAGCATAAGAAATGTTTGAACCCATTTTTACTTGCTTACACTGAAACTGCCAGGCCGTTTTGCACAAGATCCCAGTTTGGCATGGGAAGCATTCCAGGGCTTGAAAATAACTCCTGGAGTGTGCAGCAAGCTCTCAGTTTGTCAGTGTATCAGCCGTACTAAACATCTTGGCAAAGCTGCAGTGCCTCTCGTTGCCCAAAGGAATCAGCTAGGTGATGCGCAGCATCTGGAATCTGTAGTTTTTAATTAACTTTATGATTATTCGGCGTCATTATAGCATGTACAGGACTGCTGCAGTGTGCCTGCCCTTAATCACGTTGGCTTTTTTTCAGCAGGCAGAAGGATTTTGCAGCGAGGGTTCAATGGTGAGGAAGAGGAGAAATCTGTGCAGTGAGGAGTTTTTTCTTGCAAACTCAGGGAAAGGCAATATGCTTCTGTTTGTGGCGTGTTTCTTCGTGTTTCTTACTCTTCAATTCCCTTCTGCCCGCAGCTGTCATGTGTGTGGGTTTGAGACGGAGATGAATGTCCAGTTTGTCAGTCATATGTCCCTCCATGTGGATAAAGAGCAGTGGATGTTCTCCATTTGCTGCACGGCGTGCGATTTTGTCACTATGGAAGAGGCAGAAATGAAGGCTCATGTCAACAGCAAGCACACAGGTGATGATCCCTCTCTCCCAGCTGCAGTCATCTCTCTCTTCCTTGCTTTTTAGGCGCAACCTTCACACTTCCCATTAGCGCTCTACTTTCACGGAAACGCTTGCTAATTAAGGCCTGATCTCTCACAGTAAGTGAATTGGACTCCAGCCAGGCAAATAATCTCGTAGTGCAGATCAATTTTCAAGCCTAGGGAGATAAATGAAGGACTACTCAGCCCTCCTTCTTCCTCTTCCCCTTATCCCCCAAATCCCCTCCCCTGTTGAGGTCGGCATACTTCGTTTCTCTGGCGGGCTTACTGTTTCGTCACCACCCTGGTTTGACTTCAGGGAGGATAAGGTGACTTTGAGTGCTGCCTGCGCGTACCCAGCTCCACGGCTGAAATGCGCAGCAGCCCGAGCTTCGCTCCTCGGTGTGTTTGCCTCCGCCACCTATCCGCTTGCACTCTCAGGCTGATACTTAGTTGACATCGGGATTCAGCAGCACCAGAAATGCAGCTTTACGTTAAATAACAGAACGAGCCATGCTCTCTCCCTGGTCCTGTTCACTTAATGGCCAAAGAGCAATAGCAGTTTTCAAACAAGCTCCATATGCTTAGTCCAGCTAATGAAGTCTGGCACAAATTAAGGACAAAAAAATTATAATCCTGTTAATTAATTTCTCTCATAACACGGGGCAGAAGCATTTTGCTTCCATAAACTGCTAACAATTGTGTTGACAGTACTGAAACTGAATTGCATCCAGCGCAGTTTTTCCATTGCTAAGTTGCTTTTCCTGTCCTACCAGGAATAAAATGGGGAAAATAGGGAGGGGTGGAGAAGGGATAGAAGGATGCAGTTGTTTGTGCTCACAGAGCTAAATGTAACTACAGAAATACAAACTACTGGGAAGCTCTCAAGGGATTTCACGCCAGCACAGCTCTCTGCACCACTCCGTGCTCTTCGAGTTGTTTGCATCCAACTCCTCTTCATATATAGGAAATCAAGGCAAATGAGGAAGGCCACCCATAGCCAGGTGACAAGCTTGCATCATTGCTCAGAGCTGAATTCTGCTCTGCTGTACCTTCAAAGACAAACCCCCCCATGTTCTTCCTTCCTCATCCAAGTGAGCCATTGAAAAGCTGGCAAGGCAGCCAAATGCCTACACATAACAGCAAATGCTGGGAGTAAAGAATATTCTGGATTTTCTGAGTCACTGGTTTCCAGTCCCTTATCCTGCAATGTTACCGGGTCAGAACAGGCCTGGTGGTAAGGATGCTGGCATATGTCTTCAAACAAGTATAATTGTTTTAAACCAGCTACTTCTACAGACAGGCAGCTGCAGATCTTCCTGCATTAAAGATTAGGGACCTTTTTAGACTCCCCAGCGTGTGTCTTAGTGATAACGCCGAACACACATACTTGTTCTGGTGCCAGACCGTCCTTTATCTGCAACTGCAGTCCACCTCTCGCTCCCTCCACCTGCCTTTCTTCCTTCCTTCCACAGTTTCTTCCCTTAGTGTGTTCACAACCCTCTCCCCTCTAGATGTACGTTGAGCCCGTTCTTACGAGACACACCGTTCTCTCACGGTACCAGTCCCTCGCGGCACGTGGTTTCGGTAGAACGCTGCGTTCGACACGGGCTGGACACAGTGAAACGAAGCGGTGGCCATGTAAGACAGCAGCAGCCGCCGGGAACAGCTCACACAGCAACGTTCAGTGATTGTATTTACCTTCCTTGAAGGCTCCCCCACACCGATTGCTCGTGTTCATCCCGTGTTCTGCTCAAATTCCTCTTCAGTTTTCCTCGACTGTTTCCAACTTAAGCACTCCTCGTTTGTAGCAAAAATTCTTCTTACTGGCCCTTCAGCTCATAACTGTGTACTCTGTGCTATTAAATTCCACTCCATTTCTGTGACAGGGCCCGCGAATCCTTCTATACGGTATCTCAGTCGCCCTCCCTATTGACAGCTCTGCTCATCAGATTTCAGTAGCGCATTCCCGCATTTTTATCTCGGAGCTAGGCACCGGTGCTTGCAGAGGCCTTGATCGGGGGACTTCAGCACACAGAAAATACGAAGTTTCAGTGAAGTCTCTCTTTAACACGGCTCGGGCTGAAGTGAGACACAGGTCGCCGTTGGCCCAGCCCGGCCTCACTGGTTCACGGCAGTTCTCGCAGGAGGACTCTCGCTCTGGTTCATTCCCAGCCTGTGACGGGCTTTGGGAGCGAAACTTCGTACCTCTGTGGCACACAGCAGGAAAGGCTGGTGGGCTTCAGCTTTAGACCCAGTTAAATCATAATTAATCTTCTTCAATAAAAGGTCCTAATAAAAACAGATAAATCTTGAGACCACGCCATTGTCTCTTACAATCATTCCTAAGGATGATCCTCAGTGCAGTGAGTGAGATTATTCTCCTTTGCCCTTCCTCCCAGATTTACTCATTGGACCCACATAAATGGGAAGGTGGGGAAGTTTAGCTTGGACCAGTGGGCACTTTTGGTTTGTGCACCCCCAACCCACAGGAGCTCCGTTTCCTTTCTAAGTGACAAGTTCTTCATTGGTTTTGAACTCTGAGCCAATCCAAGTGTTTTCTTGGGATTTTTTCAGCCTGGTAACAAGGTAGAGCTCCATGCTTTCTGACCATTACAGGCAGACTCAGTTGTAGGATAAACTGAGAGATGTGCAGATGTAAACTCTGATAAAAAGGAAGAAGGTACAACTACGATTGCGTAACAGGTTAATTAATTTCAGAGTTATTTATAAGCATTTTTGAATTAACATTGAATATGAATATTTTTGCTGAACTTGAAAACCAGATCATTGAGATTCCACCTGATCCGCTGTACTAGTTTCTGCTCTTTATTCTTGTTTTCCAGCTGAAGAGAGGAAGACACCCAGTGACTCTAACAGTCCGTCTTCATCTTCACTGTCAGCACTGAGTGACTCTGCCAACAGCAAAGAAGATGCAGAAGTAACCCCCAAAACCAAGGGTTCAAACAACCTGCTAGTCATTTCTGTAGTGCCTGGAAGCCAGACCTCAGTGAACACTGAAGAGAAGTCCGAGAAAGGTAAAACACTGCTCAACAACCACAAACGTCACCTTCTGCGCAGCCTATCTGGCCACAAGGTGAAGGATACATGTTCCCACTTTATTTTTCAGGCTTTGAATGTGTTTTCTGTAACTTCGTCTGCAAAACAAAGAATATGTTTGAGCGTCACCTGCAAATCCACCTTATCACACGGATGTTCGAGTGTGACGTGTGCCACAAGTTCATGAAGACACCCGAACAGTTGCTGGAGCACAAGAAATGCCACACAGTCCCCACCGGTGGGCTCAAGTAAGGAAAGCAAGTACACAAACTTTTACTGTGTTAAGCACCTCTAATACTGTGGGGATAGGACAAAAGGAAGTCCGTTAGGAAGGGTTAGTTAAATGTCTGATATTCCAGATCTGGGGCTTCCTTTTACTTAGGTGAGCTGAGCCCAGTCCTTCAGCGCAGACTTCATCCTTGCAGCAGGCCGGCAGCCTAGCAGCAGATGCGGTACCCACTGCTCTTGGAGCTGTAACAACTGTGCTCCTTTCCCTTTTCGAGGCAAACAGGAGACAGTATGTGGTGGGTCCTACAGAGGGTGAGGCAGCTCTACACAGGGGTGTTGGCAAACCAGCACCTGGCTGGGGGTTCTTCAAGGTGTCAGAGTGAAGGAGAGCACACAGTACTGGTGCTGCTCTGCACCTGGCTCTGAGAAACTAACCCTGTGCGGTCTCTGCAACAGGGTATGAAGTTATAACCCTACAGGTTATACCTTTGTGGACTCCGGCACAAAGGCAGTCCTCTCCTAGAATTACCAATTGTCATGCTTTCTGCTTTGCTTGGTGTGCCCCACTAGTGTATAAAATAATGCCTAATAATGTTCTTTTCAGAAAAAAAGCCCTTTGGCTTTGCCTCAGGTGGTGTCCTTTAAGGTCTGTTGGTGCAGAGCAGTGTTTCTAGGGAATGAGCTGTCACAGCTGGACCCCTGAGGGAAGGAGCGACTGCCGGGCCATATGCTTGCTCTCTGTGGGCGGGCAGTGTGACATTTTGCAAGATGCACATCCCTGGTCTCTGTTCCAGCTGCTGCAGGAAAGGAGGCCAGAACCACTTTGAGCCCAGCTAGGGTTCAGCACAGGACTCCCTGCTTCTGTTGCTCTCGCTAAGCACACTAATGCGTTCAGTGCACTGTAACTGTCAGGTGACAAGCACGCCAGGTTTAACGTTACCGCGGAGCAGCTCTGTCAGTGTTTGAGAACTGGTTCTGTTTGCCAGGCGGCGTCTGGTCTCCCGCTCAGCAGTTCCATGATCTGGGATCTGTGGTCACTTGAGATGTGATGACTGGATCTGGGAAGACGACCAGATTGAGAAACAAGTAGTGTGCCAGAACCATGGGATGTCTGCCTTGGATGTACAGACCAGTTGTCTCATGCACTTTGGCTTTAAGCTGCACAGAATCTGTTCTATTTACCAAAGAAAAACCATGACCTATGACTCAGACCTTCCTGACAGAACGGGCTTCTCAGTCTGCATAAATTATTCCTGCCAAACTCTAATAATAATTGGGTACCTTGAAAGCTACACCTAAGAAAAAGCTCTGATTTTTTTTTTTTTTAAGGCACCCAGAAGAGCCTGAAGAGATCTAAGTAAATTGTATTTTTCTGTCTCCTGTTTGCTGTGGGGGAAGAGAAAAACACATGATTCCTCCAGCTCCAGGTCAAAATCTGAGATTCTGATCCAGAGAGCACCCAGCCCAGGAGAGGTATGTGTGCATAGACAGCCAAGTCCTCTGTTGCAATAGAGCTAATCACCTTAGCAGCCTCGATGCCAGGCTCCCTCTCTGGATCAGAGTACTTGATGGGCAGCAGGAAAAGCGTCCGGATGTTTTAGCATCTCCTTCTCCTCCTGTATTCTCCCTGTGCTCAAAAGCCTCTCGATTAGCCAGCAGATTAATATTAAACCCGTACGCGCAACCAGCTGCGGCAAGGGAAAACGCACGTGGAGAGGGAGGATCTCTGCTTAGCAACACTCCGAGATGCTTGGAAGGCAGTTGCAGACCTGCTGACGGGGGAACGCAGATCAGCGGCAGGTGGAGGTGTCTGCAAGGCGGTAGCCGGGTGCCTCAGTTGCATCTTTTACCTAGCCCTGCCCGTTCAGCTCACCAGTTAGATCTGGAGGGGGGCGGGCTGTGTTTGAGACAGCAGAGATCCCTGGCAGGCAGCTGTCCTCGCCCCCTTCCTCAGCTACACAAAGCAGAAGCGGTTGTGTTGGGGGTTTGTTGGTGCCCAGGCTTGTGCAGCTCAGGCTTCCTTCCAAGCTTTTAAGATTCCCTCCTCCAGTCTTCCTGGCCCTTCCTGGTCCAGGAACCAGAGGCAAGGCCCTTTGCCACGTCCACCCCGGTCCGGACGCTTGCCGCTGTGAGTAAGCGGAGCCCACATCCTGTTCCCACACAGGAACAGTTCCTGCCGTGGCAGAGGCGGCTGTAGGCAAACAGCGCCGAACACGCGCCCCCTTTGCGCATGGCTCGCTCATCTCCCAGAAACGGGAATCCCTGCAAATCATCCGAACACACTGGCTTTCGGCTGCTCCTGGCAGGATACCCAGCAAGCTTATTGTTCAAGGTCACATAAAAGGAATTTCCTAAGCTTTTGCTGTACATGTGGTATTACAAGTTTATTCCATCTTTACTCAAACAGCTGCTTTCATACTCATCTGTAAACACTCACTTTAGACCACTTCCTAATGGAAAAAATGGCCAAAGGGACTCCGTGCAAACACTAGGAATGTCGTTACACAAAGCACCTGTGCATCAGTCACCCACTCCGCACCACCCGGCCTGCTTGGCAGAACCTTCCCCGCCCAGGTAAGCCAGAAGGTGAAAGGGATGCTCCTTCAGCGTGAGTCGGTGTGTTCCCAGGAACGCGTGAGCTCTGCTGCCCTTCAGTGGGCAAACCTCCTCCAAGCAGAGACGCGTCAAGGTGAACCGAGCGCTCGAAAGAGGCTTTGCAGGGAGAACCAGGTGCCTTTTCTCCTCTTCAGTAGGTCAGAGAGGGTTGAGTGGCAGGGTTGAACCAGGAGTGAAGGTCTTCAAGCCGAGTGACTTCCTCTTTCTCTGTCCCCGCCTCCCCTTGCTGTGTTGCCAGGTGCCCGTTCTGCATCTACTCCACCAACCGCCCCGCAGCGATGGAGTGCCACCTGAAGACCCACTACAAGATGGAGTACAAGTGTCGGATCTGCCAGACAGTGAAAGCGAATCAGCTGGAGCTGGAGGTGCACATCCGAGAACACCGCCTTGGCAACCATTACAAGTGCGACCAGTGTGGCTACCTGTCCAAGACGGCCAACAAGCTGATCGAGCACGTGCGCGTCCACACCGGCGAGCGCCCTTTTCACTGTGACCAGTGCAGCTACAGCTGCAAACGCAAAGACAATCTCAACTTGCACAAGAAACTGAAGCATGCTCCACGCCAGACTTTCAGCTGCGACGAGTGCCTGTTCAAGACTACCCACCCTTTTGTCTTCAGCCGCCACGTGAAGAAGCACCAGAACGGGGACTGCTCCGAAGAGGAGAAGAAGGGCCAGTATTCAGCCTCCAAGGAAGCCGGCCCACTCCTACCAGTGACCAGCTCCAGAAACCTCCTCTCGCCCCTCTCCGTGATGTCTGCCTCCCACGCTCTGCAAACAGTGGCTCTGTCGGCCGCACAGGGCGGCGGGGCAGAGCCAAACGTGGCAGTGAAAGCCTTGGCCGTCAACGGCACTTCCCTGTGCTTTGATAAATACTGGAACTCAGAGTTTGCCCACCTTATTCCTTTAACAACGTTTTTCCCCAAAAACCACTACGATCTCACATTCCATCCACCCAGACCTCAGACTGCACCGGGAGGTGCCTCCTCACCTAAACACTCCTTCCTTGCCTACCTTGGACTAACAGAAAGGGCAGAAACTGTCTGAGGGCAGTTACGTTCTGTACCAAAAACACCCCAACAGACCCAGCAGGTATGCATTGCTGCAAAACGTAGACCGAAGAGGTAACGAACCCTTGTACCATATCGTTAGTGAGGTGTAGGAAACGGCTCTGTGTGTATACTTATTGCATTGACATGAAAGCTGCTTTATTAAATCTTCGAGAGGTGACCTACTGCATACTTCTACCTTCAGAGGCATGTTCCCAGTACTCTTATCTAAGAAACTATTTTGTCTTGTTAAGCTGAAAAAGAGTGTCCTTAATGGCAATCAGCACTTGTAAGATGACATATCGATGCATTTTATTTTTTGGGCTTTGTGTGCGTGCGGGTGCGTGAAAGAGAGTCTGCCTGTAGCGTGCCATGACGTTGCTTTTGCACATCCCTTGTACTGGCTTATTTAATTAGTTTTCTTTTCCCCTTTTCACACACTTGCTCCCTCCCCTCTGCCTCCCCCTGGACCGCAGAGCTGCGGAGGGAGCCACACTTGGTTCAGGGCAGATCGGTGTGTTGTTTCGGTGCCGTTTGCAGCTCCCTTGAGTTGGTTTTGAGGCCTTGTACTCGGTTGTCAAGGTTTGAGGATTTGGGGTAGAACCCGTGAGGAAGCAGTTGCTTTCAGCAACTGCAGGACGAGAGCGCGGCAGCGACAAGCGTGTGGATGTACGCGTGTGTGCAGTGTGCGCAGCCCGCACACCCACGCAACAGG